ATATATATATATATATTGATATATTGATATATTGATATATTGATATATATTGTTGGAAAATATATAAAGTACTTATGGTATAATATTTAAACAAATTTCTTTAACCGTGATTGGAGAATTTAAAATTGGACAAAGAGGTGCATAACGAAGCCTGTTTAAAACTTTTTTTTGTCCAAAAATCCAATTACTCGCATATTTTACAAACATTTTACATACTCGATTGCAATTTTCTTCTATCCCCACGATTGAAAATAATACGGTGACTTCTATTAACATTCGCGAAATATTGGAATTCTTATAACTTTGTTAAGAAAAACAAGAATGGTCCTTTACCTCTAAATGAGGCAAACGCTGCCCCTATGATCTTCTGTTTATGTTACGTTCTGTTCTATTTACGATAAATATACGATTGATTGTCATATTATTATTTAAAAGCTGTGCATTATTTCTTACAATGAATTGACAATTCCTTTCGATAGGGGAAGAAAATATTTATTTCGGAAAATTTCGCTACAGTCGACTACGATTTACATCGAATTCCTTTCGATTGAACTAAGAATTATCGCCTGTTTATTCAAGGCGTCGAGTTAACCGCGATGCTGGACGTTAACGTGCTGTTACTCGCGCTCTTCTTCACTTTGTACGGATCCTGGAGCGTCGAGTTTCTCTGTCTGATTCCGTACTGTTTCTTCGGGCTGTGGCCAAGCTGCTTTCTTCTGAACTCTTCGTGGACCCGTCGCTTCATCGCGAATAAAAGGAATATGTAGACACCTTGGAGACAGTTGATCACGTCGGTCAAGTAGAACAGTTCCTTCCTATATTTGAACGTGGTGTACTTGTTCAGTAGCATGGAGACGAACTCTGCGATCCAGGATAAACCCATGATGATGAACAGCTTCACGTTCATGAGGAATCTGTATTGAACAAGAATGGACACGAGCATGTTACGAAAGTAAAGTTCACTGCTACACTGCTAGACTTTTATGCAAATTCAGATCTTTAGCTTTTATCCACATCTGTGTTAGACAGATGTGTTATAAAGGGCATTGAAACTTTTCAATGTTTCATACATTTCCTCCAATTGTAATTGAATTTTCAGCAAATTTCAAAGCGTCCAGTTTCACATATTTCTTTGAATCGTAAATTATGTATGCGCAACTTCGCGCTTTGAAATCTGTTACAAATGAATGGAAATTCGCAGTCTGGTTGTCATTACTCTTGTCACAAAGAGAGAAATGTTACGTTTATGTGACTGGCGAAAATTGTTCCACGAAACGAGAATAATGAGGATATCTCCTTCCGTTTCGATGGTTTGAAACACACGAAAATGATGTAGCTACTTCTGCTAAAAGAATACAACATTTTTTTCAATATTTAATGCTACAAAACCGTACGAAAATATCATGAATTGAATACCTGCAGATTAAATATCATATTGGAATAAAAATGCAATGAAAGTTCAGTACCATCTGGTTATTTGAAATTTTCCTGCCGGTGGCATTTGTGTTATTTTCATTATTTCAAAATATTTATAATAAAAATACTAGCCACCGGTGGTTAATATTAAGGTTAAGAATGCAAGACAAAATAATTAATTATTAGGTCGTTGCAAACAAGATGACTAAATTCTTCATAAAACTTTTAGTTTCTACCTTCCCAAAAAATAATAATAATCAAATTATTATCAGTAATATTAATTCATTATATTCAATTTACATTTTAACTACTGTGAAAAAAAAAACTTGTAATTATTACAATCAGAATCTTTAGTTAATCGTTGTTGATCAATGGCAGGTTACCTCTTTTTTTATAAATAATTCTTCAATTGATCTATGAAATTTTCTGAAAAAGAAACTACTGAAAATACTGAAAAAGAAACAAGAAAAGAAAAATGATTATGGCTTAGGTTAGGTTTTCAACTTTAAGTTTAAATTAAGTTTAGGTTAGGTTTAGGTTAGGTTAGGTTTAAATTAGGTTTAGAATAAGTTTAGGTTAGGTTATGCAACAACCTAACAAGTAAAAGAAAATACTGAAAAAGAAACAAGAAAAGAAAAATGGTTATGGTTTAGGTTTGGTTTAGGTTAAATTTAGGTTTTCAACTTTAAGTTAGATTTAGGTTTTCAACTTTAGGTTTAAATTAGGTTTAGGTTATGCAACAACCTAATAAGTAAAAAGAAATACTGAAAAAGAAACAAGAAAAGAAAAATGGTTATGGTTTAGGTTATTAAAGGGTTATTAAAGGGTAAATTATTTAGGTTATTAAAGGTTTTCAACTTTAGGGTTAAATTTGATTTAGGTTAGATTTAGGTTAGGTTATGCAACAACCTAATAAGTAAAAGAAAATACTGAAGAAGAAACAAGAAAAGAAAAATGGTTATGGTTTAGGTTTGGTTTTCAACTTTAAGTTTAAATTAGGTTTAAGTAGGGTTTTAGGTTGGGTAGGGTTTAGGTTAGGTTAGGTTTAGGTTAGGTTAGGTTTAGGTTAGGTTAGGTTTAAATTAGGTTTAGAATAAGTTTAGGTTAGGTTATGCAACAACCTAACAAGTAAAAGAAAATACTGAAAAAGAAACAAGAAAAGAAAAATGGTTATGGTTTAGGTTTGGTTTAGGTTAAATTTAGGTTTTCAACTTTAAGTTAGATTTAGGTTTTCAACTTTAGGTTTAAATTAGGTTTAGGTTATGCAACAACCTAATAAGTAAAAAGAAATACTGAAAAAGAAACAAGAAAAGAAAAATGGTTATGGTTGTAGTACGTTATGTAGAACTTTCTTTTATGAATATGACAAGCTTACTTAGTTTTGTCAGCGTCAAAACGTGTTCTCCTACGATCCAAGGACGAAACCCTGTTTATCTCGGCTTTCACCTTGTTGCACTCCTTCGCCGTGAGAATGAAGAACGCTATGTTTGTTAACAGCTGGATGCCGACTGGCGCGATGAAGAAAATTATCTCCCCGTGATTCTTCGACTCTGTAACTTCAATAAATTACCGACATTATAATCTCGCGTTCACATTCAACATTTAATTATCTGGATAATTCGTACTGGTGACAATATTTCCAACACGATTATTTTCGAAATTAACAAAATTCTTATATATTTCGTATGAAAAAATATCTGCCTTTATGGAAACAAGTGTCACGTTTATATGAAACTGATATTTTACAATTTGTGCAATAAAAGTTCGCTGAGTTAAAAATCCATTTATCATAATCGATTACGTACCATTCACTGAATACTATTCAATAACTTTAGGTTAGGGTTAGGTTGTAGCAGTTGTGGCCGAGTGGTTAAGACGTCTGACTAGAAATCAAGCTCCCTCTGGGAGCGTAAGTTCGAGTCTTACCGACGGCGGTTGTGGGACATGTGAATTATTATAGATTAGTTCACAGTACTTTTTTACAAATATTGAAAATATTTTTTTTTCATACCGATGAACAAATTATCTGCTACTCTGACTCTGAAAATTTTTCATTTTTCTGATACTTTTGTTTTAAAAAAAAACTCTGTCTGATACTTTTGTTTAAAAAAAAAAAAAAAAAAAAAACATTTATTCATCCGTTCTCATCTTGCAATGTCCGTGTTTCAAATTATTAATTCTTACACTAAAGATACACTATTTATACCAACAAAGACGATTATACGATAAAATGTTGACAGGATTGCTTTCAGAAAGAGAGAGAGCGAGACTTTTTATTTTCAATTGATAACCTACTTTCGAACCAGCAACGTTCTTTGCCAAAGTGGGGCTCCATATTCGTTGGCAGGACGTGCACTATGTCAGCCATAATGCAGAGAAACGTGATAAAAATCGGCATGCCGCACGCGTAGACACAGTAGAACGCGAATCTCTTGTTCTGACTTCTCCCTCGAATGACAGCGCCGTGTATTCTCCTGGAAAAAGAAATTTCGATTGCTGTACAGAAGACGTCAGTAGGTCATCGTAAATTTTCACTTTTTGAGGGAGTTGAAAGGTCACTTTGTTCATTTTTTCCCTGAGAGTTGCAGCAAGACAAGCATTGAAAATAAATTAAACGTTTTTAATATTTACAGAGCATATAACGAGTGCTATCATACAGCCCTGTATCTGATATTTGTTTATGTCAGATTTTTCGCAAATATCTCCAAAAACAATAGAGAAATTAAATTTAAAAGAAAATGACTTTACTAGTGTATTTAGTGTAAATCATCCTAAATAAAAAATCTTGATTCACTATTTCATTTATGACAAAACTGGATTTTATATGTGTAATTTGAACAGAAAAATAATTTTTTTTATTTTTCATATATTTCATTTTTTACTATACAGAGTGGACGATTTAAAATTACCTAAATAATGATCCTTTGTTTTTAATGGCATAGATAAATTTTGTTAATAAAAGTTCTCTGTAAAAAAAATATATTAACTTATGTATGTCAAAACAATGTTCGTTTAGGAAAAATTCTAATCTCAATTCTGCAAAATCTTTGCATAAACAGACAGTACAAATATTAATGCATAAACGAATACAATAAACCTTAGATTAGAATTAAGATTAAAATATCTCTCCTAAATTAATAATTTTTCAATATATCCAAGTTAATACTTTTTCTATTTGTTGTAAACGTCGAGCTACGTTGATTAGTGGATAAAAAAGTAGTGGTCTTGAAAACTTCGAAATCATCAAAAAATTACTACTGCTATGATTATGGTCCCTTTAGTATCAATTGTGAGTAACTTTTATCCACAAAGACCATGTCTTTCAAAACAACAGAGTTATTTAAATGATTCCATTTAAATGGTCCACCCTGTATAAAAATTGATGGAAGCAGATGTTTGGACACCTTTTTCAATCTGTTTTAAATAGCTTTTTCAATTTACACGGATAAAAAAAAAATATATATATATAAAATACACGGAAAATAGAATATTACTTCTTTCTTCCAATTAAAAAATAGAATATTACTTCTCTTCCAATTAAAATAGAATATTACTTCTCTCTTCCAATTAAAAAATCTGTATTTTCCAATAAATGAAAAACAAAAGTAAATTAAAACTCGTAGTATGATATTTTTTTCATTTCAGGATGATTTAGCAAACTAGTAAAATTATCCGATCTTCTCCTAAAACATATTTATGTCACGTATTTTTCATTTTATTTTATTGTTAAATACATAAATTTATTATTTATGAATATATGAGATGTATATAATATTTGTAATTAAATGCTATACAATTTTATATTTTTACAAAGACGAGAAATTAATAGAAGTGAAATTTAAGTAAAAAATCATTTTGTTATTATATTTTGAGTATTTTTTTGCGTACGTTTTTTTCAAAATATTTCATAAATCCATGAAAATTCGCAAAATCTTAAGTTACGAGTATCCAATTAAAATATTAATTAATTTTGAAGAATAAATATATGTACATTGTGTACAAAGCATCATTAAATCAAAATCAATTACTAATAATTTACAACGTGTTTAATTTGTCGCTTAATAACGAAACTTTGCCGTGTAATTATAATTAATGATTCAATCTTTACTTGTGAATAATTGTGAAAAAAAAAAAATGACAATTCCGTGAATTATAAAACGATAGTAATTAATAGCCCGTACGATTTCATGTAAATTAATAAGACAAATTAATGATCGTGAAACAATTATCATAACGCAAATAAATCGTAACAATAATAAATGAATAGATAAATTGAGACATTCACATGTACAAAAATCAGCTTGAAACGCATGACGCGCTGACACTTTTTTATCATCTTCAGATCTAAATAGAAAAGTTTCTTTCGTAAGAAAGAAATTGTCAAATTATTCAAGATTTCATTTTATATTTTTTTCCCCACAGAATTATATTTTTAGATTCAATTTTGTTACAAATTTTTAAATTATTAAATAATTAAATTTACCCCATAAAATTTTTTATACAATAAATTTAATTTAATTAAAATATGAAATAAAATAATTATTATATATAAATTAAATTTAATTTAAAAAAAAAAGACTAGATATGAACAAACGTTCAAAAAACATTTAATTTCTAAATATATATTAATATTCTTTATTTAAACAAAAACAATTTATTTAATTTATATATATTTAGATCATTTATTTTCGAGACTATTAAATTATTAAATTAAATTAATTGGCCGTGATACAAAAGGTACAAAATTAATTTTACTTGTTTAATTTTAAGTCTCAGTTTCTGTCATCAAAGCCATCTGTCGGTCACGGTAGCAGCAAAGCAATCGTGCAAACTTTTATAAATTCATTGATCGAGGGAACAGAATGAACGGCTGGAGAGGGAATTTTTCACGTAAGCCGAGCCTCGAGGGAAGAGCAGAATCGGGAGGATGATTCTCGATTCACGTGGATCTATTTTCCACTAATATTTACCCAACTACCAGCTAAAACAACAGCTTAGAAACATAAACGAAATGCGAGAAATACATGGTAGGATGAGGAACGATTATTTATATCTTTTATGGTTCTTCGTAGCCTCGCCATAAATTAAAATTCAGTTCCCACTTCACTGTAAAATACCACACCTCTCGCAGAAGTGACGTGATTTATCAACCAACTGATTGAATTTGATTTATAATGAATTTTCTTAACACGAAAAACTTAACCTAACCATAAACTTAACCTTTCTTTTCAACACGTTCAAGATAGAAGGGACTCAGTTGTTGGTGATATTTTTCCGCTAATACTGTCTCCGGAAAAGTATAAAAGAATTCAATTCTAATTTCTCATGTACAGAATGTATACTTTTCTGTTTTTCATAAATCTTGGCCAATTCTGGAGGAAAGTTTTTCTTTCAGATTTCTGCTCGGAAAGATAAAGGCTACGGAGAAATTTTTATGAAAGAGAAAAGAAATGAAAAATGAAAAGATAAAGCAACATGCTCAAGGAAACTAATGCAAACAGCTAGTAATATCTTACCCAAATGTCTGCCATATATCGAAGCACATGACGTTCAACCAGGAGAAAGCCGAGAGAAAGGAGAAGAGCAGGATATATCCTACAAATGAAGATAAATACTTTCAGAAACTTGGATTAATCTCAATTCTTGTTAATTAGTATAATACTTTTGTCACACTTCATTTTTCTTCTTTCTTTTTTGTTGTATATTTTTCTAGGGAAAAGACTTATCGTCCGATCCAATATTTATTTTAATATTGCCACATATTCAGCGATCAGGTTCCGAACAATTTTGATATATATATCGAAAATTGTGTGTTACTTCATTCAAGGAAATGAGCAAACAACGCACCTAACGTGTAACAGAGTGCATCCCATTCTAGTTTCGACAACCAATGTATTACGGAGAGGCAAAAATAAGCTGTCAGAAGGCTCGAGACATGGCACATCAGAGTTTTGCCGTGGAGATTTTGAAGCACTGGTAGGCAGACATAGACGATCAGTGTCAAGAGCAGGAAGATGCAGCTGATACTCATTAAAACGGTGGAAATTATGGCTCTGAAAAGAGGAAGCACAAATAATTCTAATTTCTCTTTTCATTTCTTCTTTTTCTTATTTCCCGTCGCGAATGTGACTATTTTGCACGTGCAAAATGTTCACATTCGTTTAGCGAAAAAGTTAAATAATAGTGATCAATTTTAGCACGAATAATATTTTATTGCATATTTTAAATATTATATATAAAAAAAATTAATATTAATGTAATTTATCATATTAAATATAAAATATTTCATCTAACAATATAAAATAAAATAATATAAAATATTTCTTCTGAAATATATAATATATAAAATATATTAATTATATTAACATATTAATTGTATTAATTATATAAAATATATCATCTAAAATATATAAAATATTTCTTCTAAAAAATGTTCTAGAAAGAACATAAAAATAGAATATAAAAAGAGTAGGATAATATATAATTAATTATAACACATTATTCAGAGAAAATAATTATTCTCATAAATAATTTTTATATGTTTCGTTTGTATTATACGTGTACCATTGAGATACACTATTTAATATATAGTATATTACACTACAAAATATACTATCAATCTCAACTTAATAAAATGTGAAATATATAAACATATATTTCTATGAAATATGAAATAGTAATATACAAAGTAATAGTTGTATTCGCTTTATTTTTCGTACATCATATTTCGCGAGTTTCCACCCCTTTTTTTTTTTTTTTTTTTTAACAAGACAGAAAGTTCCATTAAAATTATGTCACGTATAATGGAACGACGGGCTCAGGTCTGAAAAGCGAGAACAATCGGAGTGGAATATATTTAATTTAACTTCGATTTCCGCAATGAAATTAAACCACGAATTACGCATGCATATATTACACAGTGAAATTATTAAAAAGCTTCATTTAATATTAATAATTTATGTTTCAAAGTGAAACACGGATTGAAAATGTTATTTGCCTTTATAGTGTGAAAGCTATCGACATTCATCACAGGACTGATTATGCTAATCGATCTCTTTTTTTTTTGCAATTATCTCTGTAATTCTATTTTATCTCTGATAATACCGAATGAAATCATAATCACGGTAACTTGAACCTAACCTAACCTAACCTAACCTAATTTAACCTAAACATAACCTAAACCTAACTTAACCTAAATATAACCTAACCTAAACCTAACCAGCACTACTAAAGTACATGAATAAAGTACAAAAGCATATGACCAAAAATTATATGTAAAAAATTGTATCAGAGAAATTAGAGTGCAAAACATAAGGAAAAATTTATATAAGGCAACACAAATCTCTGAAGGCGCTGAAGAAAATACTGTAATTAGTCTTGGAACCTAACCTGAAAATAATTATAAATTTTGACCACTTTGATAGTGTTCCAGTGTTGATACGCTGAAATTTCAGAGATGTTGAAGAAAAAACAAAAAACAAGTTTTCTTGTTTTTCTCTTCAAGACCACCCCTACGTTCAGCAAACTACCCTACATCATTTCGTAAGAGCAAGTTCGATTTCAATCACTCTGGAATTAGGAGGGCAATCAGAAAATTTAGGAAAGTCGCTGGAAAATTTTACAGTAAATAAAGAGAGACAGAGTATACAGTAAATAAAGAGGACAGTAAATAAAGAGAGAGAGAGAGAAAAAAATACACACACACACACACAAAGTGCGCACACGAATGTATAGCCACTTCGTCATAACTTGTCCTTTGTTGAATGACCCTTCTTCTATTCATCGGGCAAATGGACTTGTGCCATTGTTATTTATTCTTCTGCTTGAAGATATACACTGTCAGCAAACAACTTGGCTATCTGGCATTGATGCAGGCACAATACGTGCTGCCGCGGAAGATGTTGGTTTCCGGTTTGAACGGAAATGACCAGCATCCCCCATCGAGAATCGTCCAATCTTCTATATCCACAACTTTCGTAAATAAAACGCCACGACGACGAAACACGGGGCCATTATAACGAATAGTATATTTCACGTCCGTTCGAGTCAAACGAAGACGATTGTTTAACACAATTTACAAAACACAGGGCAATATTGAATGTTGCGCAAGCTTTGAAAATATCTTTCTTCGTTTCTATCACAATTTTAGTGGTTTTCCAAAAATTCCAAGAATTCCAAGAATTTTTCAATAAATTATAATTAATACGCGGACTAAGTGATTTTGAAATCATAGACAAATCATAAGACAGTTATAAATTGAATATCAGGCCTCCAAAATGGCAAATTTGCCATTACCGCGGAGGTGATTGCTATGAAAAAAAAAATTACTAAAATATATATATTATATCTTAGTAATTTTTTTTATAAATTTTTTTAATAAATTTTGGAGGCCATTTTGGAGGCCTGATAAAGAGACGTGCAAAGTTTTATTTACATTCATTCTATATAGAGTATATATTGAAATTTATTTAGATCGTTTCTGCGTTTCTTAATAATGCGTTAATAACAATGATAAGAAATTTAGAGAATCTGGTGATTCGATAGAATTACGAAACTTTTGTACAAAGTAATTGGT